AGGACACAAAAAAGTCTTCCCTTAAAAAAAGAATTATTAAAAAAATAAGAACCACGATAGATCATGTAAAGATACAATGATTAACGTCATTATATTGTATACCTAAAATGTTTTCAATAAAGTTTAAAGAAAAGAAGAATTATTAGTAAGTCAAACATGGTGCTGCACTCTAGGAGGCAGCAGAGACAGGAGGATGGTAAATTTAAGCCCTATCTGGGCAAATTAATGACTTAGCAAGATCCTGTCGGAAAGAAAACAAAATAAAACAAAAGTGCTAGAGATGTAGTTTGGTGTGAAGGTCCTGGGTTCAATCGCAGTACCACCAAATCAATGTTAGCAAAAGTGACTCATGCAGTTAAGCCATTTGGCTTTCTGAGGTTAGGGTACAGAATAGATCACTGAGTAAAACAGCACCAAGGTTACTAACAATCATTCAGCAAACACCCTGAGGGTCCAACCTGTGTACCCCATCTCTGAGCTCAAACCCTCTCTGTCCACAAGAGCTTACAGTCTATCTGACAAGCTGCAACTAAAGTAATCGGTGACTACACACTAAAATAAAGAGCTCAGGCACTATTTTCATAAGTATTTTGACATAGAAGATTGTGAGTGTTGAGGGTTAGGGTTAAGGTGGTCAGAAACTAGCTGTAAAGCAGAGGAAGATGAGCTGGGAGTGGCAGAATTCTAAATGGGGCAGCCTTCTAGCTTATAAAATACTTTATAAACATCTCTACTCATTTCTCTTGAATCCTACAAGAATCCTTATGGAAAGCCAAACAAGGACCAGGGATGTAGCTCAGTGGTGCAGTGCCTGTCAGGCAAGTGCAAGGTCCTGAGTTCAATCCCAGGCATGGAGAGGGAAAAAAAAGCCAAATATACTCTAGTTTACAGAAAAGCAAAGCAAGTATGAGAAGACCTAAGCAGATGATACAGTAAAAAAGAAATTTAGGCTTAACCCCAAGCATTCAGTCTCCAAGTCTAACAGTCCAACAAAAATTCTAACAGAGCAGAAGATCTATGGGGGTCCGGGAAAGAGGGTTAGATCAGACAGATCTTGGAGAATTTCGAAGAGACTGAATTTCAACCCTGTGGGCAATAGAAGGGTTTCTAGCATTTAGAAGGGAAAAGGGTACTAAAAAGCCTTAGGCCTACTTAGGTCAGAATACTATACCCAGGTGAAAGATAATAAAAGTATGAATTAAAAATACATGAAGAAGGCGGCATTCTGGTGTATGTCTGTAATCCCAGCACTCGAGAGGCTGAGGCAGGAAGACCGCCACGAGGGCCAGGCCAGCCTGGAATAAAAAGTAAGTTCAAGATCAGCCTGGACTACACAGGAAGACTCTCCCTCAAACAAACAAAAAAATTAAATTAACCTAAGTTAAATTAAAAACATAAAATACACAGAAGAAATCACAGCAGTAACATCTGGTCTAAACTTTAAATTACCAACACCACACTACTGTAACAAAATACAAGTACAAAAATATACACACACAAATTTGTCTCCTTTTATAATCTGTTTCACGGGGGAAAAAAAAAAACTAACCAACAAACTTCAGTGATAAAAGGTATAACAGTTTCCCGACAACTATTTAATGTCATCAAAGATTTTAAATAGGACTCCGAAGTTAATTTGGAACTGTCAACAACATCGGAAGAACCGAAATTTCACGAATTTCGGGACTACCTACACCGGGAGCAGCGCCCTGCCTTTTACACAAGTTTCTCAAGACTTCGATTCTTCCATTTAGAAACGGTCTGACAGGGTCGACCGAAGGCCGGCTAATTTCCATATTAAAGCACTGGCCTCGCTCTCAGCACAGAACCCAGCGAAAAGCAAAGTCCCAACCGACATCTGCAGAATAGACGAGGCCAGGCCTACCGTGCTGAAGCCTCTACATACCAGGCTACTCCACTAAAGTTCTCAGCCTTTCGGGATCCAGTCTGGAAGGAAACCCTGTCCGCGCCCGTCCTCTGCCTGGCCGGCCCGGCCCCTGCATGGTCCTCGCGAGCGCAGGGCCACCCCGCAGGTGTCA